ATGGAAGTGAACGACCGTGCCTCCCAGGCGTCCACGCACGGGAACTTGGCAGTTGCCTACCAAGCGCTGGGCGCCCACGACCGTGCTCTGCAGCACTACCAGAACCACCTCAACATCGCCCGGGAGCTGCGAGACGTCCAGAGTGAAGCGAGGGCCCTCAGCAATTTGGGCAACTTCCACTGCTCACGAGGAGAGTACGTGCAGGCAGCCCCGTACTACGAGCAGTACCTGCGCCTGTCCCCGGACCTGCAGGACATGGAAGGGGAGGGGAAGGTTTGCCATAACCTCGGCTACGCCCATTACTGCCTTGGGAACTACGAGGAAGCTGTGAAGTACTACGAGCAGGATCTGGCTTTAGCGAAGGATCTTCATGACAAGCTGAGCCAAGCCAAAGCCTATTGCAACCTGGGCCTGGCCTTCAAAGCCTTGATGGACTTCAGCAAAGCAGAGGAGTGTCAAAAGTACTTGTTGTCCCTGGCCCAGTCTCTGAACAATTCCCAGGCCAAATTCCGAGCTCTGGGGAACTTGGGGGATATTTTTGTCTGTAAAAAAGACGTAAATGGTGCAATAAAATTTTATGAGCAGCAATTGAGCTTAGCCCATCATGTTAAAGACAGGAGACTGGAAGCCAGTGCCTATGCAGCCTTGGGCTCTGCGTACAGAATGATACAGAAGTGTGACAAGGCTTTAGGTTACCACACACAGGAGCTGGAGGTGTACCAGGAGCTGGGAGATATGCCGGGTGAATGCAGGGCACATGGTCACCTTGCTGCAGTGTACATGTCACTCGGGAAGTACACCATGGCCTTCAAGTGTTACGAGGAACAGCTGGAGCTTGGGCAGAAGTTGAAGGACCCCAGCATAGAAGCCCAAGTCTATGGTAACATGGGCATTACCAAGATGAACATGAATGTCATGGAGGAAGCTATTGGCTACTTTGAACAGCAGCTGGCCATGCTGCAGCAGCTCAATGGAAATCAGTCTGTGTTAGACCGGGGACGAGCGTATGGGAACCTGGGAGATTGTTACGAGGCTCTGGGAGATTTTGAGGAAGCTATAAAGTATTATGAACAGTACCTGTCTGTGGCTCAAAGCTTGAACCGTATGCAAGATCAGGCAAAGGCCTACCGGGGCCTGGGCAACGGGCACAGGTGAGGAGCTCTGCATGTGTGTTCTGCTGCCAGGCAGTGACGGGTACACAGGGCTGCGTGGTGTAACTGAGGGGGAGGTGTGGCTGTTGTACACGGGATGTGGCATGGGAGCCAGTAACAGAGTCCTCTGGGTGCTGAGGACTGTGCTGCTGGCTCAAATGATGAAGCTGATGTTGCTCTCAGAAGAGAAGTTTATGGGGCAGCAGGAGAAGGAGGTTGAGTCCAAGGTGCTGGGGATGTCTGCTGGGGAGGCGTGGGGGGAGCATGTGTGTCCGCCTGAAAGGCCTGACCTGGTCTCTGGAGGAAATGGCAGAACATCATCTTTCAAGAAGACACTGGCAAAATAAATGCTGTTTTCTTCCCATGTAGGGCCATGGGAAGCTTGCAGCAGGCTCTGGTATGCTTCGAGAAACGGCTTGTGGTGGCACATGAGCTGGGGGAGGCGTTTAACAAGGCCCAGGCCTATGGGGAGCTGGGGAGCCTGCACAGCCAGCTGGGGAACTACGAACAGGCCATTTCGTGCCTGGAGCGCCAGCTGAACATTGCTCGAGAGATGAAGGACCGAGCGCTGGAGAGCGACGCCGCCTGCGGCCTGGGCGGGGTCTACCAGCAGATGGGGGAGTACGACACAGCCCTGCAGTATCACCAGCTAGACCTGCAGATTGCAGAGGAGACCAACAACCCCACTTGCCAAGGCCGGGCCTACGGGAACCTGGGCCTGACCTACGAGTCCTTGGGCACCTATGAGAGGGCAGTGGTTTATCAGGAGCAGCACCTCAGCATTGCAGCACAAATGAACGACCTTGTAGCCAAAACTGTGTCTTACAGCAGTCTGGGGAGGACTCACCACGCTTTGCAGAACTACTCTCAGGCTGTGATGTACCTACAGGAAGGTAAGAGCCTGAATTATGCAACACAGCATGTAGTGATAGGTTCTAGGGTATAGGAGAGGGGCCCAGAGACATGGAGAGGAGGAGATACTGTGAGTGTGGCACTCAGACCCACGTGTTTGACAGTGGCCTTTGATGCTCTTGCAGGCATCCACGGCTATTGAGCAGCTGTGCGAGTAGTGTCCAGGTGGGCTGTTATGGTCAGCACTCCATATCAGTTGGAGCCTTCCTGGCATCCTGTAGACAAAGCATTGCAGAGCATGGTCTGGCCTTTCTCAGTTAGCTCTGGGCTTGAACCCAGAGTGCAGCTGGCAGAGACCGTGCCTGAGCCTGGAAGGTGTAAACCTGCTCTATAAATAGCATTGCACACCAGGAACTGGCTCTGGGAAACCCACATCAGGTCAGATGGATCTGTCTGACCCTGAGAGCGGGTCTGGAGCTGGAGTGTGCCTTGCTGATAGCTACCTGGCTTTTCCTTCTGCTATCAAGGGCAAGTGTCCCCCAAGCTGTGAGTGAGAGCAAGTCGTTTGACATGGAGGTGGGGGAGGTTCAACCCTCAGTGCCCAGATGCCATCTGCTGCTGCTGAGCACTGGGGCCAGTGCTGGCTTATGAGTTGTGCTGCTGCAAGGGACTCCAGAATGCAAGCTGCATCTCTTCAAGGTGATGGCTCTCTGGTGGGAGGAGATGAGCTGTGTACCTGGAGTGTGTGAAGCTGGAAGCTGCAGGATTAATTACGTCAGTTAGTCTGATTTGCCTGAAACTGACCTTGGCAGGATTCCAGCATGCTGAAGGAATTCAATTAACTTGGAAGGGGAGGAATTAAATACAGCTCCTTCTCCTGGTGCCATGCAGAGTTCCTTGAAAAGCCTGTGAGTGCTGCTGCTGAGCTGCATGGCTGTGGCCAGGGCCTCCACTCCCTTGGCTGTGGGAAACCTGAGTGCCTAAGCAGAGGTGTCCCTGTTGTCAGCAGGGCCACGGAGGTGAGAGCTTTGGAATGTGGTGGAAGCAGGGATGGCACAGAACGTGCTGCTGGAAGTGAAACAAGCTCCAGGTCATTCATACCAAGACCTTGCCCTCTGCTCTGGCTCAGCACATAAACCATGCAGAGCCTGCCAGAAGGCTGCAGAGAGCTGGTGGTAAGTGAGCCAGTGGTGTGGCAAGAGATGTCTTTTCTGGCAGCGTTTGATGGTTCAGTATGATTTTGTTTGTTTGTTTGTGTGGCTTTTAAGGTTTAAAAGTCAAACTTCCTGATAGGGGCTCACTGGGTGAGCCTCCAGGAGACTGCACCTGCACCTCACTTAGGGAGCTCCTGCTCTGTGGAAGTGTCTGTCTTGATGCAGCACCTCTCCCGCTGGTGCCAGCGCCGGGGTCGGCAGCAGCTGCCCGGGGCTGGCGCTGCCCTGCTCCGTGTCCCACTGCCTGGCAGCTCCCCGG